TTCGACCGAGTTCAAAGATGAAAATGATAGCAATAATCGTTATTTTGATTTATTTGAAAATTATAGCTCCACTATCGTCTCATTTCTGATAAAGTTTCTGGCGTCATTTCTGGGTGCGGGTGTCTCAAAATTGAAGAAGATATTTTGAGGCTAGCTCAAGAGATTTGTTGAAGATAAAAAGTCTAACAAAATTTTGGTCTTCGAATTTTTGTTAATAATTTATCAATCAACGGGGCACCAAGTCGATTATCAATCTCCCGTCAAAAATGCATGTCTTTTATTTTATTTGCGATAAAGAGATGAGGATGATGACAATAGATTAAGTAGCCAATGCACAATGCATCTAAAAAAATGTCCAAATAACTCCCACCGTCAGAGTTTCCCTCAGAATACTTTCCCTGAGTTTGGGAATGCCTTATCTATTGAGGGTGATTACAACACCGCTTTGTAGAATCAAAGTTATTCAGCTTTATTTATACTTTTGGATATTTTATCGAGGGCTTAATATCACTCGATGGGTTTTTGATCAGGCAGACATATGGTCCCAGCAACAATATATGTACGTTATCACAAAGTAGGAAACATTGAGTCTTTATAGGCTACTGGTGCACCGACAGCGAACGTTTCGTAATTAATTGCGGCCTCCGAAGAGCTTCTTTTATCGACTTCCGTTGGCCTGAGTACCTCGTAAAAATCTGCACGACACTATGTGCATGCTCTTTCTTCTACACGTATTCAATTGTTTGGTTTCCTTTTTCGACTTTGGTACTATATTTTAATGAACGTGCAGTTGGGAGATCACGATTTCCTGGAATTTTTTGTTTACGAATGGGAGATCCGCAATCGTAAAAAATTGTATTCTCTAGTTTATTGTGGAAATGAGTTGCAATGCCGACGTGGAAACCCTGGGAATACTGCGACTGAAATCTGGAATGGCACCTTTGTCTCGCCTATGTTTTCCATCGGACGGAGATCTTCGAACAAATATAAACGATCTGTCGTGGACAGAATTTGAATGTTTATTTCGTGCGATCTGTTTCAAACGGGGGTTCATATTTGGTTCTCATATGGTCTCAAATCACGCCAAAACAAACATGTGACGCAGATCCTTCATAACTTTTGGAAGATCTCCATTCGGAGGCCTAAGGGAAGCTGTGCTTGTACCGCTCACCTGAAGAATAACAATAATTTTCGCATCCTAAACCGGAATTTCGACTACAGATTAGAGTTGCATAGCACACTGTTGGAAATTTCTTGAAATTTAAGTTTCACAGCGTGATCTGAATTTTCGATGTTGTGAGGTTACATTCAATTTCAAATGAAAGCGTTCATCAAACTTCTCATTCATCTTGAAAATTCAAGAAAATTAGGTTTTTCATGTTAAACAATCATTGATTTTTCAATGAAAACATGAATTTCCAAACTCATCGTGAAAATTAAACATCATATACTATTTAATTTTCAATAGATTGAGAATTCAGAAAAGTTATTGCCTGAATTTTCAACATTTTCTAAAAATCGAGAATTACTTGAATATTCAAGAAATTGACTGATTCGTCAATGAAGAAATAGACAGAAATTTCATGTAACCTGTAGTTGTTGAAAATTTCAAGCTTTTTCACTTGAAATTTCAAGAGTAATTTTCTAACAGTGAATTCTTCGGCTATTCAGCTAGATATTTACGAATCATCACAACTTACAGAACCTCCTCCCCTCTCCAATTGCATGACGTCATATTTGAATGCCCCCAACAGTTCTTATTTCAAGGACCCATTGTTCTTGATTTCAGTACTCACCGCTTCTGGATTCCACTAACATCCCTAGTGGAAAAACCTAAGGCAGAGGCGTAACACGCCTGATCAGAATTTCGGATCGGACTTGATCAGTTTCTGATCAAGACCTGAACAGAATTTCCACTCGGGTATGAGTCAATTTGAGAGTGAAATTCCTAAGTGTCCTGGTAGCTCAGATGGTAAGAGCACCCGACGCGACATTGAGAGGTCCCGGGTTCGATTCCCGGCTAGGAAGTTACTAATTTTTTCTCTCAAAAAATTAAATTTAATTAATGCCTAATGATGGAAGGCGGAGAAACCCTAGTGGAAAAACCTAAGACAGAGGCGTAACACGCCTGATCAGAATTTCGGATCGGACTTGATCAGTTTCTGATTAAGACCTGAACAGAATTTCCACTCGGGATGGTTCTGGGTTTTAGTACCGTGGTGCTGGAAAGTAGGAACATTTTTCCTCTGTATCCATGAGGATCGCATGTGTCGCATGAAAATTCTCAGGTCAATCAGATTCATCATGAATCAGCAGAGTGAACAGGAGACGATGGGGACAAATAAACAAAAGAGTCACAGAAGTTGACGAGCGGAACGAACAGGGGAAGAAACCCCCTAGGATTATACTACACATTCGACTGCAGATGAATATCATTTTCTTGTAAAAATATCTTCATAACGACTCATCGTAGCATATATGAAACTTTGTTCAAGAATGTGTGACTGATAACTGCATTTTTACTGATGTGAAGTAGTGTTTCTTTACTACTTTGTTGTTCAACGACTTCCATTATGATAATAAAAAAAATATCTTCCTGTGGCCATTATTATGCAGCCATAATACGCAAAGAACTTCATCTTTAATTCGAAATTTCCCAGCGATGTTTCGAGTGCTAAATACACCTCTCTTCAGAATAATATTCACTCAATCTAAATAACAATTACAGAATTGAATCGTTTATGTTCTGTTTTTCCTATTATATTTTCAAGATGTCAATCAATTTAATTCGCCGTCAAACCCTAACCATTCATCTGTAAAGACAAACAGTTCATATTTTGACAGCCTTCCATACCCCAAAACCAAAACATTCTCCTTCTGACACCAGTTTCTTTTGCATTTTCATTGTATCCATGAACAATGATTCAATATCGCGTAGTATTTCTGTTAAACTGATTGTTGAGTTGCGATTAGTAATTCATTTACTCTTAACAGTAGTCAATTCCATCAAATTTGAACGGAGATAGAGAGAACCCTATTTTTCATAACTACTGGGCATATCACACTAAATAGTCTGGTGTTAAAAAAAGGTGTATTATGTCATCCGGCGATAAAAGTATTATAATCACATGAGTCAGATTAGAAGTTGGGAATGGAAATGTTAATCAACAAGTTTATGCATAATTAAATGTTGTTGATGTTTTCCTTCAAAATTGGAACGAAGGCTCATTTCGAGAAATCTAAGAGCTGGGTTTGAGTAATGAAGTGCAATTTTTCGCAGACCCTCTGCGCCGTATAATTTCACCCTCGCGCCAAAACTTTTCTCCACTCAGGCTTAATAAAACGTAATGCTTTATCGTGAGTCTTAAATCACTGCAGATTCTCTCGTCTTCTTTTTATTATTCATCTCCGGAGTATTTGAGGTCAGTTATTTTGCCGCGGGAATGCTGTGCATAGTGGGTAAATATGGAAAAAAATCTATAATTCAATTGATGGTGTCATACAATAGAGTGAATTCTACCTGTTTCACAGGATTAGATAGTTTCTATTTTCAGAGCCGGAATGACCCAAAAATTTCATTGAGAACTAATTGTCAATTCTCATTCAAATGACCTGAATTTCTTTTCAGGTCAGTGAAGGGAAGAATCGAATAATGAATGAATGTTGCTCTCTAAAAAAAAGATGCATGTTATGAAATAGTTTCATAGGGAAGAGGTGACGCACGAATATTCTAGCGCTTTCTCTCACTGATAGAAGAATTCGGTTAATGTTACCTAATGAATTCAGTTGAATTTTTTTTCTGATCCGCTTGTATTATAGTTTAGTGTGTTACAAGTGCGTAAAGAACCACTTTTTCGCACACACGCGTAACACATCCTATTTTTTGTAATACCTGCCGAGTTCACTGTTCGGAACCGTAGTGGAGGTAAAGTGGTTGCTTTCGTGCACGGTGTACGTAAAGTTCAAGGTCGTGCGTCTGACATTCTTTAAGGACTGATTGTAGCTTGTCGAATTGACGGCATGCATCAAGTCAGACTCGGACAGATGCAAACCGAAATATCGGTCTGATTCAAGTCGATTTTCCGACTTGATTCAGGTCGATTTTCCCGTTCGATTCAAGTCAATTTTTCGGTTTGATTCAAGTCGATGTTTCGGTTTGATTCAAACCGATTTTTCGGCTTGATTCAAACCGATGTCGGCTTGACACGTTTCTACTTGAAATAAATCATTTTTCGACTTATATCAGACCCTAAATCCCGATTGGCATAGTTCGAGTTACTCGGCTTGAATCAAGCCGAAAATCACTTAGAATCAAGCTGACGTCGACTTGAATCAGTCTTTTTTTTTGGGTGTCGCTTCGCTCGGTTATTTCGCTCGGTTGGGTGTCATTGACATAAAATATTGTCTATCACACGGCGATAAGAGCAGTGCTATCTGACGAATGTGACTTTCACATGAGTCACGAATGTAACTTCGGCGAGGATTATAATTACATTAATAGTGAATTTTACTCCGTCGTCCCGGAAAAATTTACTGAACGTGAAGATGATTTGTACCGAAACTATAAAATTTACTTTGTATCCCACTAAAAATTATCCCAGTGAACGTGAATAATTGCTCGAATGTTTCGTATAATTTTTCCGTAACGTAGAATGATTTTTCTGTACTGCTTCTCACGATTTCTCGTCTGCGAATTGGTATTGCATACTTTCCAAACTCGAAAACTTGAAAATCACTACAAAAAAATCTTGTCCCGGGCAGCTGCGATGGGGTTTTTTTTACTCGTGTGGTTGGCCAATCCTCGCCTTCGCTCGGACGCTAAAAACCCCATCGCAGCAGCCCGGAAAAATACTATTTCCCGAACCCGTTTGGTCAAAATTCAGTTCCATCCGTTTCCATGAGCTTCAGACGGGTAGAAAATAAACAATTCCCTGCTGGTGTGGGAAATTTTACTAAACAGGAGGATTATTTGTAGATCCACAGATGGTTTTTTTTTATCGATGCAAGGTAAATTTTACAGTTTTGGTACAAATCACCCTCACATTTGGTAAATTTTCTTGGGCCAACAGAGTAAGATTTACTATTAATCTTGCACTTTTTTTCCTATTTAAGGTGAAAAAGTACTGAAAATCGAGGTCGCTCAACGATTACATCATTTGTTTGATAATTTTTCACCAACTTTTTTCTCCGTGCACAAAATACCAACATACAATTTTTTTAGCCACGAAAAACTTCTCTAATGTGACTAAAAGGTGTTTTTTCTTTTTCCAGGTTCAAATATAAAAACAGCAGTGGCCATTCTCAACTGTCTGTTCGCTCGTCAGCTCTGCTTCGAGGATCCGTCTTGCAGTGCTATTTTGGAAATAATCCCTCGGGTTTGTGGACCAGAACTCGGTGAGTTAAGAATGCCATTACAAGACCCCCTGAAACATCTCAAAATACATTTCGCACTATCAATTCATTCTATTGTCCTACCTCCCTTCTCCTATCCTATAAAAAGCAGGGCTAATTAACACCCCCGATAAGATTCAAACTCGATATACCATCCGGGAATCTCGGTAACTTCGTCATCAAAAAAACATGTCGAAATGGCGGCTCGATGAATTTGCGGAAAGATTGAACCGGCGGATGGACGGAGAAGGGAGAATTAAAATGAGGCTGTCTGCAAAAAATCGGTTGTGAAGTCTGTCCGGAGGGTGATCATTGTGATAAATTAATAAACAAAGTTGGAGAAAAGTTTCAAGCGCCGGGAAAATTGATGTCGTGTCACTTGGGTGCAAGGCATTATTTTTTCATTCCAATTACCATGAATATTGCACAGTGTCTAAGTGCCCAGAGTCTTCATTTCATTTTTATTCAGTGGAAGGGTTGGTAAGTTTCTGACAATTATTCGGTCAAACTTTTCATTAAGTAATCAAATTTGAATAGGATTGAATTAAGGACGCTCAAGAGGCAGTTTTTTTGGGTGGCACGTCTTTTCAATTAGGCGACATTTCAATTGGTTTTTCCATCACTTGCACGTAAAATGACTATTTGTCGTGTATTTCAACTTTAGCAGTTGAAATGTCGCCTAGTCGAAAAGACATGGATTTGCCATTTTGAAATTGTTTCATTGAGAAGCTAACAACAAAATATGCTAGAAAACTCAATAGGGTGGATTATTTTGGCTCCAGCGTGACAAAATTGCCGTAGAACGTTCATTTTCATTTTTTCCCGAAATTTGGCAGAATTTTTCGCTAACCCGATTAAAGGCAATCAGAGTCTAGTAGTTGAGGCTGTCAGACAGTTATTTTTGGGATATACCCGTCTGGGTTAACAGGATACATGCTCCAGAATTAATCGGGTATTTTCGAAGTTGCTTCAATTTTAATTTCGCGCGCTGATCCTTTTCTTCACTCTAATCATGAAAACAGCGCGATATAAATCGTGACATGGCTGAAAACAAGTTTTCTAGCTCATATGATTCCATCCCTGGCCTTTGGCTCGGGTTGCAAACTCATATTCGCCTGAAAAGTTTCTTGCAACCTAGTGATGAAAAATACTATATTATTTAATGGAAAACTGAAAAAATGAAATTCATTACATTTCATAAATGAAGGAATACATGATAAAAATCAATTATAAGTTCTATGTAAGTTATATGGGAATCACTTTTTCTGACCCGCCCATGCGCTAACCAAGCGTAACCTAACCCTACGGCAATTATGATAGTACGTTGTATTGTGGTTCAAGTCACTCTAGTTTTCAAGAAAATCCCATTTGGGGTGTCCAGGAATATAATTTATTTATCAAAAATTCTCAAAAATTATCAAGAGTTTGACACTGACGATAATTTTTGTATTGGGCATTAAATTTTCATTTTTTTTGTCTAATTTTTTCCATCTTTTTGCCATTTATTTTGCCACTTCTGAATTAATTATCATCAATAATACTAGACTGATAAACGCAACCAGAATATTTTTATTCATTCAAGTTTCGATTAGAATTCATTTCAGACTTTCATCTTCAAAATTGAAGTTATGTATATACTCTTTTAATTTGTATTTTAATTTTTGGCCTCTGCGATCATTAGCTGATTTGACGTGAAGGAATCTATTATGTCCAAATGATAAAAATTGATCCAGTCAAAAAAATAGTATGTTGTGGTCGAAATCTTCTCCACAACATGCTACAATATTTTAATGAAAAATCTTTTCGCCTATCTTGATTAAACCCTTGTGTAAGCATCAAACAAATGTGTTATAGTTGATTTTAGAGGTGTATTCATCTCTTCCGCAGATTTCAACAGAACAGCATTTCTTATGTTCAATAAATACCTCATTATCCTTCAAAATTACTTGCTCAAACTTTGGCCCATGCACTGCATGCATGGAATCCTCTCGAGACAAATAAAATTCATCCGGATCAAGATCGCGAGATTAGATGATTCGCGGTAATCTATTTCCCGCCGCTTTACCCTATGTTTCATCCCATTCCGTTCAGATAAACCTAGTCATTGGGTGTGAACGACCCATTCTTCCGAGCATAATGGGCAATTTTCCGGCCGTTCCCTCGTCTCATAAAAATCTCCCCTCACATCCGCGATAATCTGAAGAATATCAATCTCACTTAATTCAAAATCATCAATATACCCATTCTTCATCTGATACGCTTTTTACCAACAATATATGTACACCCACCTGTACTTTATCTAATGCAGAGTACATGCATTCGGGTAAACGAGTTGAAATATCGATCCCCGAGTTTCCGGCTCGTTTCCGAATGACTCCGTTCCTCCGCAATACCTCTATTTCTCTCACTCCAACGGTGAAACTGCCTCGCTCCGAAAATGGCCTGAATTTTTGGTGAGACAGGTCAACTGGAAGCGGCCCATGTGGAGCCCCGGTTATTTCTCTCCTCTCACTCTTTTCCACCCCTAGTACCTTTATTCTCTCTTCATCCAGGAACACGGTCATTGCAGCTCGTTGAACTTATTGCCGATGGCGATCGATTGTTCTCGACCCACAATTCACATTCGCCTTCTTCAATTTTTCTTTTCCTCCATTATACATCATTTCACCTCTGGTATTTCCGGACTCGCTGATGTATGTACTACAGAGCCCTTTGATCATGAAACTCAGAGACTATTGTTGTTAATATGAATAAAAATTAGCAGTGACAAGGGAAAATGGAACTGCGGGAGGGATGAAATTCTTTATGAATAGAAAGGAGTGAAATCATTTTCAGCGATATTAAATATTCAATATCGAGAAATTTCATAATCCTTTGTGCCCACAGTAATATTGAAGATCGGAGGTTAATCCAAGGAATGCAGACGGATTTTGCTCCGTTTGGAACTCTTATAATAACACGTCTTATCGCCGATCAATGAGGGGCGAGACGTGCGCTCGTCATTTATGAAAAATCTTGGCATTGAACTTGACGTCCGGGATATGAGACGGTGGATCGATTGGGTCACGTCATCATTCCGATGTAAGGTACGAACACCATGTCAATTATATCGACATTGAGTTCAATCGAAATGGAGGAAAGAAATCAGTCGTCTATTATAACACTCTTTTATCCAATTCGAATAAGTGATCCTTTTTACTCTGAAAGCCGCTCGACTCACGATGACTGTGCAACCCACAATATACACCTCGTTGGTTGAATGTTGCCTGTCGTTTATTCCGGTCATTTCACCAGACTCCTGCGACGTATCTTAAATCTCTCAACATCCTGCCACCAGTAAATCCCAGAGACATAGTCGAAGGACTCTTTCTGCCGCCATTCCGTCCTTACCTTTCCAGGAATAAAAAATCCAAACAGGTGAAGCTGAGATACGGCTGTCGTTTTCCTGACACGGAGTGCATTTTATCCCAGTGTCTTCTAAAACTCCAGAGAATAAATAATCTTTCTTTTTTATATCAAAAGGGACAGTCGTAGATTGAAAAAGGGATAAATAACAGAATATCCCGCGATGTTTGGAGGGAGACGTGGGGGCTTCATCCATCATGATAACTCATCGCGAAGGACCCACAGGAACTTGCTATCTATCGAATGTAAAGGCAGCGAATGGAGGATCGGATAGAGAGGTTATACCAGGAGTGGCCAGTGGCACGTTTTATTTGGATTTATGAATCTCCTGGCGATCCGTTTCCTCCTTCATTCGGATCCCCTTGCCGACTTGTGGTTGAGTAAAACTCGGATACTTATCCTTCCCATTTCTCCCTGTAGACAATGGTCTGAAGAGGATTTCCATGGTGCTTAAATTAATGCTGATTTATTGGTGGATGATCGGGGTTAATCTGATTAACGAAGAATATCTGAAACAGAATTATTGATCACGGAAATGGAAGATTTATTTTTTCAATGAGCACCAAAAAAAGGAACATTTCATGATTCAAGTCTGAGTCCTCACGTGACGTGGGAAGGATTTGATTAGATCGGGAATCTATTCATTTCAAGCCGTTTTCATCAACTTGGATTGAATATTTCCAAGAAATGCTGTAGAGAATTGATGACGTGATTCAGGTAGGCCTCGACTTGATTCAAGTACAATTCGAAACGGTCCAAAGGGTTCCCTGAAAAGTGTTTATGAGGAATTTCACAAGGTTCTACTGACACCAAATTTGAATCATCTGTTGTTATACGGCGAGAAATATGAACTTAATATTAAACTAATTTCTTCGCCAAACGTGTTATCTCTTAACCCTCCGCCTTCAATTGAAAGCCCGAGTTGAAGACCAGACCTTCAACCGAGTTGAAGGCCCGAGTTTGTAACAAAGATGTCAGACAAGATATGAATATTTTTTTGGGCTCAAATGAAAGAGCGGGTCGAGAAATGGCGTGCTAGGGCCTCTAAAGATGGTCTTGAGCCAGGGGAGACTCCTCCACCCCAATGTTCTATACACACTCCTAGACCCCATTGCCCTACTAGACAAT